CTGCTGGACAAACTAAGTAATTACACCATTTCAAGCATTTTATCGGCATTATATGTTCTGTAAAAAATGTTTTCATATCGGCGGCATATTCGCCGATACCGATATATCGGCGACAGGCTCATATCGGCCGATAATATCGGCAAAACGATATATCGGTCGGGCTCTAGTGTATAGAGACCTGACTGTCAAAAGTTTGTCTTGCAGAATATGCAAAATGTTAATTATTTTACTAAGTAAGAGGGATCAAACAAAATGCATGTTATTTTTTTTAAATTTACTGACCTGAATAAGATATTTCACATAAAAGACGTTTACATGTAGTCTACAAGAGAAAATAATAGTTGGGTCATTCCGTCAACTCAACCAGAGGTCCCCAGCTCAAATTTTTGATTTTGCAATTTTTTTCTGAACAAAGATAAACATGTATAGTGATGATAGTAAATATTAATTCATGACATTTAATATTTTGGCTGAGTAATCCACTGTTTTGTAGATGGCAGCACCACAATGCTATTTTTACCCAGAGATTAGTAGGTCTGTTAGTAAAATATGTTGACTTTAGCAATCTTTGTTGCATTATGTGCCAGTGGTGACCATTCAAAAATGGGGAAAGAGCACTTTTCAAGTTTTTTTTTCTTCAAAGTTTGCAGGCCTGTAACTCAAAAAGTATTAAAGATATATTAATGCCCATTTAGATATTGGGTCTTAACAAACTTCCCTTTTGGCATCTTCCTTTTTAATGCCCTATATGGTTCGTTTCCAGAGATAATGGAATTCCAATATTTTGAAATTCAGCCCTGTAGAATGACAGCATTTTTGTTCATTTTTATTTTCCTGACCGCCAAACGAAGCTCATTAGTCGATCGTTAACCAGTAAGATTAGAATGTATTTTTTTTGTTGTTGTTTTGTACAGGGCTTTAGCTTTATATGCGCGAATAGCAGCATAAACAAGACCATGAGGATTCAATCGTCGCATCATGCACCTGCAGTGCTTCTGTGAAAGGAGAAAAACAGAAATTAAGTCTATAAAAAGGAATAAAATAATTAAAATAAAATAATTAGGATCACACAAAATATATAATAGGCTATAATATAATTAACAGATTAACAAAAGGAAAAAAAACCCCACTGTGCAACAAGAATAGGCTAAGCTCGTTTTTGTGACGCTCTTAATGCATTTTATTTCTTTATATCTTTATTTGATTTAATCCATCTGAAAAGCACTATACAAATAAACTTGAATTGAATTATGTCTTTATTTGATTAAATCCATCTGATCGCACAGGCGCCTCACGCACACACAAACAACATTAGTTCTACCGTTGCCTGACATTTCAGCCATTCATCATCAAACTAAAATGCAGTCAACCAAACATAAAAGTTACACTGTTTACTTTAAAAGGTCCACTGTAAAATCAGCGTGCAGTGCCCAAACAAAAATTTTTGCACATGTGAAGGATTTTACACTGATATTAGAACATGACTGAAGTATAAAGCTATGTTTAGGCTACATAATGAATAATAGTTATGCAAACAAATGTTACAAATATGGCAAAAATGGAAATTTGGTTTCTTA